CATCTACATTTTTCTCATTTAAGCGTGCATACAAACTGCTTACCTCAATATCCTTACCAAATTTCAGTTCTTTTGCAAATGGTATTGAACAATTGGTGCATGCTATTGTTAATGATTTGGAAGCTAGAGAAAATGTAACTATAAAGACGTCACATCATGTAAAAGAACTGAAATTTGGTAAGGATATTGAGGTAAGCAGTTTGTATGCACGCTTAAATGAGAAAAATGTAGATATTTCTAATTGCAATTTTTTAGGTCTATACAAATGATAGGTCATTTAATGCCGATCATATTATTAGCACCATTCCATCACACGAGTTAGCAAATCTTCTTCCCGAACTTCCATATCTAACACATAATCCTTCAGTAACAGTTGCAGTTGTAAACATTGCATATGGCCGGCCAAATTTACTGCCAGTCAAAGGATTTGGATATTTAGTTCCACGCATAACACCAAACAATCCGTATCATGTCCTTGGTGTAGTATTCGATTCTGATGCCATGCCTCATCAAGATTATAAACAAGATAAGTACACAAAACTTACAGTCATGATGGGTGGTCATTATTATAATGATCTTTCAGAAAATGATTATCCAAGTAAAGATGAACTATTAAGTCAAGCAATTGAAACAATAGAAAAACACTTAGGAGTATATTCAACTCCATTACAATGCATGGCACAAATTCATAGGAAATGTATACCACAATATTATGTTGGACATTATTCCAGAATGAGAAAATTACATTATGCGATTAAGAAAAAATATGGGAAAAGATTGAGTGTTGGAGGTGCGAGTTATTTTGGTGTTAGCATTAATGATTGTATTGCTAATTCTGCAAGGTTGGCACTCGATTTGCTTGGAAATGATGATGAAAGAGTAATTATTACTGGATTAGAAAGAGTTGAAGTAGAATGAATTAAAAAAATTTTATAGTCATTTGTAGTAAATAATTTAAATCACCTAAGAATCGTAATAGCATGGGCCTTAAAAAAATACTTATCAGA